TCTTACACATTGAACACCATCAGTCAGTCCGGGTAGAACCCAGCGCCTGTCTGGGCCTCAACCCCATCTTGCAGAGGGTCTCCACGGGTAAGGGGGGCCGGGGGCTTACTGCCAATCCACTTGTAGCCTGCTAGCTTTCCAGCCCTAGAAACCAGGGCCTGCATCCAGTCCCTCTGCTGGCCTCAGGCACTTGGTGCTGGTGGGGTGCTGTCCACGCCATGGTGCTGAAGGCAGGGAGGCCACCCGAACCACTGACTGACCGACAGGAGCAGAGAAACCCCAGGCTGGGTCTGTGTGCCCCAGGACCTGGTGAGGGGCCCCGGCAGCCTCTGAGTCCAGTGCGGGAGAAGCTTCAGCAAACGCACACGCCTTCCCACACCGTGCCCGAGGCGGTGGGAGGGTTTGTGGCGAAGCTTCGCCACAAACCCTCCCACCGCTGGCTTGGTAACACCCAGAAGTGAATCCTGCCTCTCCAGGTGATCTCAAGCCAGGGACTGCCCGCTCTGGGCCTCCAGGCCCTCCTGGGTAAGCGGACAGTGGCAGTAGTTAGAGTGGACGGGCTAAGTTGTGTGTGACATCCCGCGGGTGCCCTGAGTGTCAGCTCTGACTCTCCTACTCCCCGTCACCACTCTTCCCGCCCTGCCCGCCGCCCCCCACCCCGGGGGTTCCCTTCTCTGTGGGACTGGCTGACAGGGGGAACCAGCACCTTCCCTGACCCCGCTCTGTGCCCGGCTTGCTCTGTGTTTTTGAGTATCAGGGTCTATGTCTGGGAAACGGGTCTTGGTGATGCCTCAGCAGAGCACCAGGACCCTCGCCAGCAAAGTCATGTTCAGGAAGGGCCCAGAGCAGCGGCAGAACAGCAGGGATGGTGCTTGCCTAGCACGCGGCCAGTTCAGGTTCTGTCCACCCCATCTGGCCCCCTGAGCAGCGCCAAGAGTGGTTCCTGAGTGTAGAGCCAGGAATAACCCCTGAGCATCGCCAGGTGTCTCAAAAAAAAAAAAGTTACATTCAAGAAAACCAAGATATAAAAAGTCACAACTTCCCGAGCACGTAAGGAATTATTCACCGAGCATTTGTCACACTCGAAGAGCTAGGAATAGCAAGATGATTAAGGCATGGGGCTTCCTTTCAAGGAGCTTTTACCGGATTATTAATCCCCCTTTAAGGGCCTTCCAGGTATCACCCCCTCCAGGAAGCCACCCTGATCCCCACTCCAGTGCCCCCCTGGGGAATGCTGGCCGATGTCTTTCCGACCACCTGGTTACGTGGGGCTTTGTTTTCTCAGCCTCTGGGGTCTGTGGGCTGTCACTAATGCATCACTAACCTCCTCGGCCTACTTGTCTACATCAGGATGCATTAACTCAACTCAAAGTGACTTAAGCCAAAACGGTCCACCGACGCGCACACATGCGGCACACCTGACGTCAGGTGTACCGCAGTGTCCCCATTGTGCCACTCTGCACCTCTCTTCATGGCTCCATCCTCTGACAACCCCCTTCCTGGCAGCAGAGTTCCCCCCGCCTGTTCAACCCAGGGGTCCCCGTTCCTCACAGGCTCATCTCGGAAGCCCTCACAGTGACCAGGCAGGTGACCTGTGTCAGGCCTGCTCCACAGCCTGGGTGGTGATGCAGTGGCCCGAGAGATAACGCCGTTCCCCAGCTAGAGGACCCTGAGGCCTGGCAGGAAGAGCATGCATTCTAGAACCTGCCAGGAGTCTGATGGGTTTCAGTCTCTGGCTTCAGGTGGTCAGGCTCCACCCCATAGGCTGAGGGAAAGAAACTCCAGTCCTCACTCTACCTAGAAGTGGGAGGCTGGAGCCCCGCCCCCTTGCCATTCCATCTCTGACTCTCCAGGGACCCACCGCGACCAGCCACCTGCCCCGCTGCCCTCCCAGCCAGGCTCAGAGAAGACTCGAGTGGGCCCGGGCTGAGGGACGGGCCCGAGTGGGGGAAGCAAGACCATCATCACCCCCAGGGACTCCCTGGAGCACTGTCCAAGGAGCCCTTCCAGACACGCTCACTCGTGGGGACCCAGCCTGTGCCCGGGCCACTCATCAGCTCCTGGGCACGTTGTGGCAGCCTGTGCCTCTGTCTCCTCCTGAAATATGGGGGGACCAGCAGCTGACACACCCCCCCAGGTTTCTTGTGATGGTGGACGGCGGCCCTGGCAGCCCCCGCGAGGGGCGAACCCTCGCTGTTCGCCCTTCCCCTCCCAGTCCCGCCATCCTCTGCCTCCTGCAGCCACACTGCCACCCGCCCCCCTGCGCCCTCGTCACCGGGGCGGCTTTTGCTGGCCATCTGCAGCCATTCGGACCGATGATGGAGGTTCCGTTCTTGCTTTGCCTGCCGGACGCTTCCCTTGCATGCAGCCACCACCAGCCTGGAGCCCGGCAGCTTCTCACGATGGAGGTTCGCTTCTGGCTCTCATGACACAAAACAGGCGACTCCCCCCTAGACAGGGGACTAGCAGCAGCCCATCGCGGAGGGCTTGGAGCCATCTGCAAATAGAGACGGAGGCTCGCGGGCACTGCCTGCCACCCTTCCTGTTCACATCCCCTGGGGAGCCGAGGGCCCCGGCATAGCGCTGTTGGCACACAGAGAGCGGATTGGCCTTAACTGCCAACCGCCAGCCCCTCCCGAGTTCTCGTGGACGCGGTGAGTGGGATTTTCATGGGAGTCAAAGCCAACTTTAGCCACCGCCAACAGGAAGTGGGGGAGGCTCATCAGTCTCCATGCTCCCCTTGCTGGGGCCCCCTCCCCCACAATCCTAGCCCACACACCAACAGAGCCAAGAGCCACTGCCGCGAGGACTCGGTGACGCGCCCCCACCTGGGTCACACAGCAATCCAGGTACAGGGCACGTGGGGTCCTGGGGCTCCCAATGCAGGTCATCCACACGGGGCGACCCCCACCCTTCTGCACACAAGTGGGAGCTGTCCCGTGCCGGCTGCTCTTGTGAGCAGAGGCACCAGCAGTGCCACCAACTGCCCCAGGGGACAGTTCAGACAGAAGCGTCCTGGGGTATGGGAACTCTTGCTTCGCCTGGGAAAGGGGCACCAGGGCCAGCTCTCACTGGGTCCCACGGGGCGCGTTTGACCTCTCAGGGATCTGGACAAAGTGCAAGAACCCCAACTTGACTGGGGGCTGGGGCGCACGCCTGGCATGTATGAGGCCCCGGGTTCCCTTCCTGGCACCACTCGGCCCCCAGCACACTGCAGTGAGCACCGGCCTTCAGGGCTGAGAATCACCAGAGTAAGCTGCACCCCCACCTTCAACAAAAGGCACTTCCACCTGGGGCAGTGTCCGGTGTCCTCAGCCACCTCTGCCCCCTCTCGGCCCCTGCACACCCAGCACTGTCCTCTCCGTCTTCCAACCGCAGGAGCTGAGACCCCGAGGAGGTCTGCGACTTGCTGAAGGTCACCCAGCGAGAAAGTGGCACACGTCAGGATGAAGGCCACGCCGAGGGCTGCGGAGCCCCAAGGCCAGTGCCGGCTGTGGCGCCCCGCTGTGTCCCCTGCCCCAGAATTGGGTCAGAGGCACCCCGCAGGGCCACTTCCTGCATCACCCCCACCCCCACCCAGAAATGGCAATGGAGACCCCCAACACTGGACCCTAGGAAGCGGGAGGGAGAGTTGGATCTGGTCTGACCTCGGCCTGGGAGCAGAGGTGGGGACTCTGCCTGTTTAATGGGTCAAATGGGGACACTGCGGGAATCTGGGACCCTGAGAGAGGAGGAGGGATGGAGCGGGAGCGTGAGGAGCAGCTGGACGCCGCCTGCAGGTGGGACACAGGCCATGCGGTGTGGGCCGGGGCCAGAGCACTGTCAAGCCCAGATCCAGGGATGGAGGTGACCCCAGCCCAGCCTGGCACCTATTCTTGGGCTGAAGAGACCAAAGCAGGGGCACGAGCAGGAACAGCTACAGATACTTGGGGGGCGCACTTGGGGGCACGGGGACCTCTGGCGGCAGACAGGGTTGCCCCTCTGCTGGGAGGGTCCTCCTCGGAGGGTCCTCCCCACCTCACAGGAGCTGTAGCAGAGGTGATGGCCCAGCCCACTGGGACTCAGTCGCGTGGCTGGGTCTGCGGGCTCCATTCCGTTCTCTGGCGTCGTCTGTTCCTGAGTCTGTCTGGGGAGTTTCGGAGCCGGCCCTGCTCATGAATGGAGGGGAAGGGGGCTGGGTGGGGAACAGGAGCTGGGAGGAGGCGGGAGGATGCGCAGATGGAGATCCGCCGGGCTGGGTGGGAAGCCAGGAAGCTCCCTCCTGATGTTCCTCGCGGCGGCGCCAAGTGGGAGGCTGGGTCGTGCCGGAGGGTAGGGAAGGCAGCGCAGGAGATGAGAGTCTGCGCCGGGAGCTTGTGGGGCCAGCTGCGCCCTGCTCACGCCCCCCCCCCTCCCGGGGCCCCTCCTGAAGGAGACAGACACAGCATCAGGACCACAGTCTGAACCTTCATGCCAGCAAGTGACAGGGAAGCAGGAGGGGGGCGGCGCCAAGAGAAGGTTCTGGAGCCTTCTGTAGAGGCCATCATACACACCTGCTTGTGGGCTCCCCCCCCACTTCACCCCACAGGGCACGCAGAGGTGCAGCGCCCCTGAGCTGTGTGATCTCGAACGGGTGTGGTGTTGGCCCTGGGGGTGCCCATGGCTGAGGGGTGACAGGATGCCCCCTGACTGCCCGTGATTCCCAGGACAACAGTGTCTTGCTTCTTTGTCCAGTGCTGAGCCCTCCGAACTGCAAACCACCTGGCAAGCAGGTGCTGGTGATCCCAGCCTTCCTGCGACCTGGATACATGACATGTCCTCTGTGGCAGTGTCTGGTGAGAACAGGAGACACCAGGAGGCAGGCCGAGGACAGCGCTGGGAGGGGAGCACTCGCCTGGCACTGAACCCAGGGAAAGGGGGAGCCGCTTCTCCCTCGTGGCTGCCTTGGCCCTGGCATGGCCGTCCTGGCATTCAGAGGGAGGAGGTGACTGACGGTGCGCCCCGTGTTGTCCCCCCAACAGGGAGAAGATGAGCGTGGGCTGCCCAGAGCCGGAGCCACCCCGCTCCCTGCCGTGCTGTGGGCCCGGGGCCGCCCCTGGGCTGGGTGCAGGGGTGCCCCTGCTCACGGAGGACATGCAGGCCCTCACTCTGCGCACACTGGCTGCCAGTGATGTCACCAAACACTACGAACTCGTGCGGGAGCTGGGCAAGGGCACCTATGGGAAGGTCGACCTGGTGGCCTACAAGGGGACAGGTGAGTACAGGTGACCTGGTGGCCTACAAGGGGACAGGGGAATGCAGGTGGCCTGGTGGCCTCAGGGGGACAGGTGAGTGCAGGTGACCTGGCGGCCTACAGGGACAGGTGGGTGCAGGTGACCTGGTGGCCTCAGGGGGATAGGTGAGTGCAGGTGACCTGGTGGCCTACAAGGGGACAGGTGAGTGCAGGTGGCCTGGTGGCCTCAGGGGGACAGGTGAGTGCAGATGGCCTCGTGGAGAGGGACATAGCTGGGCATGGGTGGGGCAGGTGGCCAGCAGGAAGCTCACAGTGGAGGGCATGATGGGTCAGTGGCACCCAGGAGAGGTGTGGGCAGGCCATGGTGTTTGGTACGTCATTTGGGCTCCAGGTTCATAAGGGCTGGGAGAGACCCCCTGGCTGTCTCTATTTCTCAGATGGGGAATATGGTCTCTCTGCCAAGGGGGCTTGAGCTCAGGTGAGCACCCCCTACCAAAACCTTCTTGCTTTGCCATGAAGCTTGCAGCCTTCCCAAGGGAGACTCACAGGGCCCGCCCCAGTCAGCCAGGTTAGACCTGCACCAGCTCCCGCAGTAGCACAGACCTGGGCGGGGGCAGGAGCAGTACACTTGGGCTCACCTGAGTTTTGCAGTTCACTTGCTATGTGGCCTCAGGTAGGAGACTTAACCTCTCTGGGCCTAGATTTTTGAGTGTCCCTCCCACAGGGTCACTCTGAAGAGCTGGGACTAGAGGGCTAGAGGTGTGTGTGTTCTGGGGACACGGTACCCAGCGGGGCACCCCAGTGAGGACAGATCCCCAGATGCCTTCTGTGTTTAATTTCTTCTTTTTTAAATTATTTTTATGTGGACCATATGGGATGCCGGGGGATTGAACCTGGGTTGACTTCGTGGAAGGCAAACACCCTCCCCACTGTACTATGGCTCTGGCCTGTTGAGTTCCTTCTTTTTTTTTTTTGTTCACACCCAGAAATACTCAGGGGTTACTCCTGGCTCTGCACTCAGGAATTACTCCTGGCAGTGCTGGGGGACCATATGGGATGCCGGGGATCCAACCCAGGTCGGCCTCGTGGAAGGCAAACTCCCTACCCGCTGTACTATGATTGCTTGGGCCCGTTGAGTTCCTTCTTATCCATCCATTGAGCAAGCATTTGGTTTTGTTCTGTTTTGTTGGGGCCAACCCCCATGGTGCTCAGTGGCCTCTCCCAGCTTAGTGCGAGGTGGCTCCTACTGGTCTCAGGGGACCCTGCATGCCAGGGTCCTGCCTCTGGTGGCTTGAGTCTCACTCCCGGGCTGAGAAGCATGTGTCCAGCAGCGCCACCTGCCGACGGCTCTGGGAACCCTGCAGGGCACGAGAGAACCGGTCCTGCTGGACTGTTCTCTTCCCCCGGAGGAGCTGGGGGGCCAGACAGGCAGGGCACGAAGTGGAAGGTGTGTCAGAAGAAAAATGAGAGACGGCAGTGGAGGGGCTGCCGGCTGCCCCGCTCTGTGGAACCTTTGCCAAATCCTCCTCACTAGGCCCGCCACGCCTCCCTTGTAATCCAGGTGTCCCTGCCTCTTACCCCAAGCCCCCACACCACCCCACCCCCCAAAGAAGGGAAAGACCAGACTGCAGGGCTGCGCCTGTCCAGTGCAGGGGCGCGGGCAGACGGGCCTCAGCATGGCTCTTGCCCCTGCAGGCATGAAAATGGCACTGAAGTTCGTGAACAAGAGCAAGACCAAGCTGAAGAACTTCCTGCGGGAGGTGAGCGTCACCAACAGCCTCTCGTCCAGCCCTTTCATCATCAAGGTCTTCGATGTGGTGTTTGAGACGGAGGACTGCTACGTGTTCGCTCAGGAGTACGCGCCGGCTGGGGACCTGTTTGACATCATCCCTCCTCAGGTATGGGAGGGAGACGGGCGGGGGAGGGCGGGGGGGGGGGGGTTGTGTGGCCAGCTTCAGCCAAGGCACAGAAACTTGGTGAGGGGCTCCTGTTTGGAGCCCTGGGCGGTCACCACTGGGCTCTCTCCCACTGTCCAGAAGGCTCCCAGGGGAACCTGGGTGGTGACAGCAAGGGCTCTCTCCCACTGTCTAGAAGGCCCCCAGGGGGGAGCTGGGTGGTCACCGTGGGGCTCTCCCCCACTGTTCAGGAGACCACCCGGGGGAGCTGGGGCTCTCTCCCACTATCCAGGAGGCCCCTGGGGGGAGATGGGTGGTCACTGTGGGGCTCTCTCCCACTGTCCAGGAGGCCCCTGGGGGGGAGCTGGGTGGTCACCGTAGGGCTCTCCCCCACTGTCCAGGAGGACCCCCCCCCCGGGGAGGTGGGTGGTCACAGTGGGGCTCTCTCCCGCTGTCCAGAAGGCTCCCAGGGGGACCTGGGTGGTCACAGCAAGGGCTCTCTCCCACTGTCCAGAAGGCCCCCGGGGGGAAGCTGGGTGGTCACCGTGGGGCTCTCTCCCACTGTCCAGAAGACCCCCAGGGGGGAGCTGGGTGGTCACCGTGGGGCTCTCTCCCACTGTCCAGGAGGCCGCCGGGGGGAGCTGGGTGGTCACCGTGGGGCTCTCTCCCACTGTCCAGGAGGCCCCCGGGGGGAGCTGGGTGGTCACTGTGGGGCTCTCTCCCACTGTCCAGGAGGCCCCCGGGGGGAGCTGGGTGGTCACCGTAGGGCTCTCTCCCACTGTCCAGGAGGCCCCCGGGGGGAGCTGGGTGGTCACTGTGGGGCTCTCTCCCACTGTCCAGGAGGCCCCTGGGGGGAGATGGGTGGTCACCGTGGGGCTCTCCCCCACTGTTCAGGAGACCACCCGGGAGAGCTGGGTGGTCACTGTGGGGCTCTCTCCCACTGTCCAGGAGGCCCCCGGGGGGAGCTGGGTGGTCACCGTAGGGCTCTCTCCCACTGTCCAGGAGGCCCCCGGGGGGAGCTGGGTGGTCACCGTAGGGCTCTCCCCCACTGTCCAGGAGGACCCCCCCCGGGGAGGTGGGTGGTCACCGTGGGGCTCTCTCCCGCTGTCCAGAAGGCTCCCAGGGGGACCTGGGTGGTCACAGCAAGGACTCTCTCCCACTGTCCAGAAGGCCCCCAGGGGGGAGCTGGGTGGTCACCGTGGGGCTCTCTCCCACTGTCCAGGAGGCCCCCGGGAGGAGCTGGGTGGTCACCGTAGGGCTCTCCCCCACTGTCCAGGAGGACCCCCCCCCCCGGGGGAGGTGGGTGGTCCCCGTGGGGCTCTCTCCCGCTGTCCAGAAGGCCTGGAGCAGGAGGTGGCTGGGCCATCCCAGGAGCTGCCCTGGACTGCGGGGTGGGGGGGGGGGATGCCAGGAGGAACTGGGTTTGACAGTAGGGCTGGCTGGACAAAGCCCGAGCCACAGTGACCACTGGTGGGGGCAAAGGCAGGGTCTGAGAGCGGGGGCGCCCGGAGGCTCAAGGAGTGGGAGGGGGTGAGGAAGCAGGAGCCGGGGGTCCCGCGGGAGGACGCGGGCGCCCCTGAGCGCCGCCCCGGCCCTGCCGCCCGCAGGTGGGGCTCCCCGAGGACACGGTGAAGCGCTGCGTGCAGCAGCTGGGCCTGGCGCTGGACTTCATGCACGGGCGGCAGCTGGTGCACCGCGACATCAAGCCCGAGAACGTGCTGCTGTTCGACCGCGAGTGCCGGCGCGTGAAGCTGGCCGACTTCGGCATGACGCGCCGCGTGGGCTGCCGCGTGAAGCGCGTGAGCGGCACCATCCCCTACACGGCGCCCGAGGTGTGCCAGGCGGGCCGCGCCGACGGCTTCGCCGTGGACACGGGCGTGGACGTGTGGGCCTTCGGCGTGCTCATCTTCTGCGTGCTCACCGGCAACTTCCCGTGGGAGGCGGCGTCGGGCGCCGACGCCTTCTTCGAGGAGTTCGTGCGCTGGCAGCGCGGCCGCCTGCCCGGGCTGCCGTCGCAGTGGCGCCGCTTCACGGAGCCCGCGCTGCGCATGTTCCAGCGGCTGCTGGCGCTCGAACCCGAGCGGCGCGGGCCGGCCAAGGAGGTGTTCCGCTTCCTGCGGCACGAGCTCACGTCCGAGCTGCGCCGCCGGCCGTCGCACCGCGCGCGCAAGCCCCCCGGGGACCGCCTGCCGGCCGGGCCGCTGCGCCTCGAGGCGCCCGGGCCGCTCAAGCGGACGGTGCTGACCGAGAGCGGCGGCGGCGGCGGCCCCCGGCCCGCGCCCCCCGCCGTCGGGCCGGTGCCCGTGCCCGTGCCCGTGCCGGTGCCCGACGCCGGCCTGGCGCCCCCGGGGCCCGCCGGCAGGACGGACGGGCGCCCGGACAAGAGCAAAGGGCAGGTGGTGCTGGCCACGGCCATCGAGATCTGCGTGTGAGCCGGGGCGCCCGGCACGCGGCCGGCCGAGCGAGCGAGCGAGCGAGCGAGCGCGGGGCGGCGCCCCCGCACCGAGCGCCCCCCGAGCGAGCGTGCGCGCGCGCGCGGGCGGGTGGAGGCGGACTGGCCGGGCCGCGCGGCCGGCCGCGGAGAGCCCCCTCCCGCCCCCCACAGCGACCGCGGACCCTGGTGGAGGACAGGGGCTGGGCCCAGGGGGAACCGCGCCCCCGCGACCCGAGGATTCAGAGGCATCCCCCCCCAGATACACACCCGGAGCTAGGGAGCTTCCGGCGCCCCTTGGACTCGCCCACCCTCCCCGGACCCTGCGCTCCTGGCCCCGTGCACCCCCTGGCAGATCAGCCCGACCTGACCCAGCGCCTGCCCTCCCGGCCACTCTCCCTGGGCAGGAAGGAGCTGAGCGGTGGCGCAGAGGAGGGCCCGGGAGGGGGCCCTGAGCTGAGGGCAGGGGTGCAGCTCAGTCTCCCCAAGCCCAGCCTCTGCAAAATGTAGCAAACGTCTGGATGCGGTGCGTGTGAGTGAGCACGAGTGTGTGTGTGTGTGTGTGTGTGTACACGCGTGTGTGCGCGCGCCTGTGTTCCAGCTGGCGGTTCCGCACAGACCCCAGGAATCCTGTGACTCCCCCACACACTGTGCTGAGGACAGAGCCCCTCAGGAGGGCCTTGGAAACGGGGTGCTCTGCCAGCCCTTACCCTCCGCAGACTGTCCTCCCGGAACTGAGGGGCCCGGGTGCTGAAACAAGGGGCTATGCCCCTGCTGGCCGGCTGACTCCCCCCAGGGACCCTCACTCCTCCCGCTCAGCCCACACGTCACCTTCCCCCACGCCCCGCTTCTCGGGCAGCCACACAAACTGTGCTGGATGTGTCACTCGGGGTTGCGTTAGGGTCTGTCCCCGTAGCCCATGTCTGCTCAGCCCCCTGAGGCCACCACGGTGGGTGAGTGTCAGGACTGTGTGTGTCTGGGCGCAGCGGTCAGCGCAGTTTGCCTGGAGCTGTGCGTGTCCCTGACTGCATCTAGACCCCCTCGGTCAACCCCCAACCCAAGTTTTCCCCAGGCAGCTGCAGAGGGGTCCCGGCCACGTCACCAGCCCTCAGGGAACCGGCAGGAGGCACCTGCAGGTCAGCTCGGCCCCAACACGAGAGGAACCCCATTCTCCAGCACCCCCCACCCCTGCTCTCTGGGAAGGCCTGGGACCCCGCAATAACCACCGCCTGGGGGAGGCCACCCCCTCCGCCTGCCGTGCACCCCCACTCACCACCCTGAGCCACACCTGCCTGTCCCTCCTAGGGGTTCAGGACATTTGAGGGGGCTCCTTGATGGCCAGGCTGACCATGGGGGGGCACTGACCGCCTGCTGACCTAGAGCCCCCCCAGTCCCCTCTGACCCCTCACTCCCACCGTGCAAAAGGGCTATAGGTCCCCCTGCCCTGCCCGGGTCCAGTTTACAAACAGCGTGCGGTTGCCCCAGGGCCTGGCCCCCACCCCTCAGTGTCCCCCATTGAGACCCCTTCCCCGCCAGCGGGCATTGGGACCCTTCACATGCCAGGTAAGTAGCAAAACCCTCCTCCCACCGAGGCCCAACTCCGCAAAGGCCCCAACACTGCCCCCAGCCCCCCTGGACACCTCCCAGCCGCACCGTTTCCTTCTGCCTTAGGCCTCTCGACATCTTGTCTCCTGCAATAAATAACAAGGACGCGAGACTCCGCAGCCCCCGCTGTGCCCCCCGCCCCGTGAGATCCTCTGCGGGAGCCTCGCCCTCGCGTTGTCGTAGTTTGTAGGGTGTTAGTCGGGAAGGACCGTAGTCGTGGGGTCCGGGCAGTGCCGGAGCAGGACTGTGCTCATCCGCCGCTGCCTGGGACCCTTTGCCCCTTAGGAGAGGTGTTTGGTCACAGATGTTTACCTCAGTTTATGTCACTGTCGAAGAAACAAAATTAATAGCAAAAAAAATTAGTAACACCGTAGATGTGAAGACTTAGAATACAGAACACACATAAACACCCCTCCCCCCGCAATTCTGCTGTGAAGGTGTATGTGTGCGTGTATGTCCCTCCCCGGGCCGCCGGACGCCCCCGGCCTCTGTCCCAGCCCCTGTGCACCCCCCTCACTCACTGCCCCCATCCATCGGTGCTTCCCAGAGGCCCCTCTGAGCTGGCCTGTGGGGCGTGGGGAGCCCCCTGGGTGGGGGCCAGGGCCAAGGTTACAAGAGGGCTTCCCACCAGGCCCACTGAGCGGCACCCCAAGGCTGCCTGTGAGCCCCCGCTGCATGGGTGGCGGCCCTGGTGGCTGGCACGGCCTCCAAACCGGCTCAGGCCCGGGGGGTGGGGTGGGGGACCTGCTCCTCGTGTACCACCCCCACCCTGTGTTTGTAAATACTTTGGCATCCTTTGGCCCTGAGAAGGTTTTTAAATGTGTTATTTACTTCTCTAATCATGACAATTGCTTATAAAATAAACGAAAGTTTAGAAAAATGACCACCAGGCGACTGTCATCCCAAAGGCAGAGTCGGGACAAGGACACGGTGATCCGGAAGCTGCAGAACTCGACCTTCTTGAAGGTGGCGCCTGCAGTGTCTACACAGTGACTCTGGCCTTCCGTGACCCCCGAGGCTTCAGAGGGGACAGGGCTGTCCCGGGGGTGGAGTCCATTTCCACTAGGGCAGAAAGAATAAAATCCAAAGGCGCCGAGCAGTCAGGTTCATCCAGTGACACCCCACCATCAGCAAGAACCCCCCTGAGTGGGTTCCCTGGAGGGAACAGGCAGGCAGCTGCTGAGCCCCAGCCTCGTGGGAGACTCAGGAGGGTCCCCGAGGGCTGGGAGGTTGGGGACCATACAGCCCTGCAAGAAGACCCCGGCTGGATCCTCGCTGCAGGCGGGCATGTGGGCGCCGGGGGCGTGAGCGGATGCAGGGAGTTTCATGATTCAACACTCATCCTGCAAATATTGAATCACTGGCTGTGTCAACAGCGCTGTCCCGCCGACTGTGACTCCAGAGATCTGGCCGGAATCTATGCACACAGAAGACCCTGCTCCCCGCGGGCGGCAGCCCCCTCTCTCCCGGGCACCTGCCTGGCCCAGTCAATCTGTTCATCCCTGCCCCTCCCTGCCTGCCAGAGGTCTCCCTTTGCCCCCCCCCTTCACAAATGGCATCTGTCCCTCAGGACCCCTATTATAGCCCCCGTTCACCCCAACAAAGCTGAAGTACCTACTTCCCCTGCCCCCCCCCCGTGCTGCCGCAGAAACACACAAGGTCCGCTCTCTGCGGTGGGGGCAGCATCCCTGCCCATGGACGCCCCCAGAACTCCCAGCCCCTCTCCTTCCTTCAGGTCCCTGCTCAGATGGCAGAGGGACAGAGAAAACGTCCCGGAGCAGAAGCTCCTGGTCCAGCCAGCAGTCCCTGAGCCTGCAGCTCTCCTCTGTCCCGGGGGAGCCCAAATTCCAGAAAATGTCTGCAGCGCGCTGCCCCGCCCCCCCAGCCTAGCACAGGGCCTGGCACCTGGTGGGCACCATAATGATTTGTCAATTTCATGAATGAATGCCCGCTGCTATTTTAGGGGCCGAGGACTCAGCAATAAACCAGAGAAACAAACCCTATTTCCTGAAGGAAAACAGACACTAAATTAGCTTGCCTAATTATCTATGAAATGGGGAGGGGGGAGAGGGGGAAGGGAGGGAAAGGGGGAAGAGAACAGGAGCAGAAAAGATTCGAGACGAGATGGGAGGAACTGAGCCAGGAACGTCCCACCGCTGTTGGCAGTGACGCCTGGCCCCTGGGGAGGTGGACGGATCCCTTTCCTGAGCAGCCCCCCCACGGATTGTTAACGGGTGCAAGGAAAACCGACCCCCGTCGGTCACGTGGGACCGCCGCCCGCGTTCGGGCTCCCGGTGCGTCCGGGAATTCCAGCAGGTGCCGCTAGGGGGCCTGGGTTCGCCGCGGCGCCCGGGCTAGACGCAGCCGACCGGAAGCGCGCGGGCTCTCCCTTAGTCTGCGTCGCCTCCCGCGGTCCTGCCGGGGGACCAGCGACCTTGCCTGTCCCGACTGCACCGCTGCGAGGCCCCCGCGCCCGTCCAGCGCAGGACAGTGCCATGCCGAGGGGCAGGGACTGTGTTCTTTAGGCCAGTGCCCCTTGAGCCGTCTGCAACGTGCCGCCCCGCCCCGGCCCCGTGCCAGTGACAGCTGCGCCTGCAGAGCCTCGGGGTGGAGGAGGGGACCACCTTTAAGGCTGCATCACGGAGGGAGGGCTTACATCACGGAGGAGCTCCTCCGTGACACCCCACTCTCAGAAATGTGGACCCACTCCGCCACCGCCCCCCCCCCCCGGCGGTTTGGGTGACGGAGTGGAGGTGAGAAACGTGATTGAGGGGGCTGGGGATGTGGCTCCGCGGTCGAGCGCCGGCCTTTTGTGCGTGGGAGGTCGCAGGTTTGATTCCCGGCACTGCACGGGCCCCCAGCACAACTGCCCGGTGCATTCCTGGTGGTCCCAGTGTCCCCAGGGCTGAGCACCGAACTGCCTGGGGTGGCTCCAACACTGCCTAGGAGCCAACCACACTAAAGAAAAGGAGGAGGGGGCCCGGAGCGATAGATAGTACAGCGGGTAGGGCATTTGCCTTGCACGCGGCCGCCGACCCGGGTTCGATCCCCGGTGTCCCATATGGTCCCCCAAGCACCGCCAGGAGTAATTCCTGAGTGCAGAGCCAGGAGTAACCCCTATGCATCGCTGGGTGTGACCCAAACAGAAAAATAAAAAAAAAAAAAAGGAGGCAGCTGAGCCTGACTCCGGAAGCACTTCCCCCTGAGGAGCTGAGGAGCTGGGAGGGGCTCACATGTCATGCACCTGTGGGCACACCAAGGCAGTCAGGTCAGTCTGTTCCTGTGAGGGTGGCAAAGGGTCCCTGCGAAAGATGGAGGACTGGGGCTTACATCCGGTCACCGCTGTGCTAGGGATCATGGCACGCTCTGAATTACCTGCTTTGTTCTGCATTACATCTGGCAGTAGACTGGGCT